ATTATGCTTCGTAAGGCAGGGTCACTGTAATGACAGAAATCATAACAACAACCATGTGTAAGATTTCGACAGCAGAATTAAACAGCTCCAGTTTCACAACAGGAAAATGTTGAGCTGGTGGTGGCCTGGTGGTTAACGCTCTCGCTTCACACGGTGAGGGTCCGGGTTCGATTCCCAGCCAGAGTAGAAACATTGGACGTGTTTCTTTCCACCTGTTGTCTATGTTCCCCATCAGTAAAATGGGTACCTGGGTGTTAGTCGACTGGTGTGGGTCGCATCCTGGGACACTGACCTAAGGAGGCCTGGTCACAGACCGGGCCGCGGGGGCGTTGACCCCCGGAACTAACTCCAGGTAATCCAGGTTCAATGTTTACTCTTTCTTCACCAGCACTTCTAGCCCATATATTTTAATTTTCTAGAAAACAACTGATAAATGAGTGACTTGAAGCTTCCGGTGTCTAAAAAAATTTCATTAACGAAGCTTCGCGTTTGCAACTAGTTTCTTTACCTTCAATAATGGTTTATCTTTGATAGAAAACTGATGGTAGTGTGAGCAGGTCGCTCTCACCTATACATGGAACAGTAAAGAAGCGAGTTAAGAAACTGGGTGAAGTGCAGAGGTATGCAACAAGACTAGTTCCAGAGATAAGTGGTATGAGGTACAAGGAGAGGCTAAAAGGATTGAAGCCGACTACACTGGAGGACAGAAGGACCAAAGGAGACATGATAATAACATATAAAATACTCAAAGGAATTGAGAGAATAGACAAGGAAAACTGGTCCTCGAGTGCACAGCTCGGAGGCACACACATGTGAGTCACAAGGACGTCAGGAAAGTACCTCTTCAGCCTCTGAGTGGTTGGGAAGTGGATCGACCTCAACGATGAGGTGGCGGAGGCAGATTCATACATAGTTTTAAGAACAGGTAAGACAGGGCCCATGAGGCTAGAGAGAGTGAATCTGGTAAGCGGCGACTTAAGAGGCGGGAGTCGACTTCTGCAACGACATACAGGTGAGTACAACACATGGAACAACAGTGCCTTTACGGACAGTCACACAGAACTTTCCACAGCACATAGAGCTTTTCACAACACATAGAACTTTCCACAGCACATAGAACTTACCACAGCACACACAACTTTCCACAGCACATAGAACTTTCCACAGCACATAGAACTTACCACAGCACACAAAACTTTCCACAGCACATAGAACTTTCCACAGCACACAGAATGGTACGTTCAAAAAGCCAAGAAATAAAAATACAAATAACAACAGAACCAACAAAAGAAATAATAGCAACTGAAGGAATTCTGGTGTAAAATTGTTAATTCTCTTCCACTTTTGTGGTAAAGAACATGAAAACGCAATTGCTGCTCACAGCGTTATCGTTCCTCTATTGCGCTAGTTAAAGCGGCAGTTGTGTTGCCATTAGCGGTTAAAAAGGGCCGGCGCAACACAACATAAAAAAAGAGAGGACAACGCAACACAACACGACACGACACAACGCAACATGACCAAAGACAACACAGCGCTACACAATACAGCACAACACTACACAACACAGCCCTACATAACACAGCCCTACAATCCTGTCATTACGCTTTCGTGAGTCATGTTAACAACCCATTACAAAACTGTGGTCAGAAATAACCTTGAAGACTGAACCCAGAGAGCTGGAAAAAAATATAAATATATACAAACAGCACTACAGCAGAGGCTGTCAGAAACAGCATTCGAGAAGTTACATATACACTGAGCTGTAAGACTTCACAGCCAGTCTTGGGATGTATAGTGTGTGATTCAACATGGAATGCTACACGCTGTGTTAGCGCTGATAAATTACACCGGGTGTGTTTTGGAGAGTGAGGTAAAGCAAATAATTTTACAAGTCTACGTTACTCACACACAAATATTGATGACACTGGAGGACAGGAGAGATTGTGGGGGGGGGATATGATAACGACATATAAAATACTGAGAGGAATCAACAAGGTGGACAGAGACAGGATGATCCAGAGATGGGACACGACAACAAAGGGTCACAACTGGGAGTTGAAGATTCAGATGAATCACAAGGATGTTGGGAAGTATTTCTTCAGTCACAGAGTTGTCAGGAAGTGGAATGGTCTGGGAAGTGATGTAGTGGAGGCAGGATCTATACATAGCTTTACGAAGAGGTATGATAAAGCTCATGGAGCAGGGAGAGTGACCTAGTTACGACCAGTGAAGACACGTGACTTGACACGTGCAACAACAACTAGGTGAGTACAACTAGGTGAGTACACACACAGGAGAGATCACAAGAAACGACAGAGAAGTACGTGAAGACCTCAACACGAGATTTAAGTAAGCATTTTTAGTAGAGACAGAAAGGACTCCAGAAAGCCGGAAAGGTTGGGTACACCAACAAGTGCTGGACACAATACACAACCGAGGAGAGGGTGAAGAGGCTGCTAAGTGATATCTCAAAGGCGGTGGGACCGGACATCTCTTCATCGGTCCTGAGAGAAGGAGCGGAGGAGCTGTGTGTGCCACTAAGAACAATCTTCACACATCTATCGAAACAGGGCAACTGCCTGAGGTGTGGAAGACAGCAAATGTAGTCCCAATTTTTAAGAAAAGAAACAGACAGACAACATTAAACTACAGACCAGTGCAGATGATAAGTAGCTAAGCAGAGAAATTTCAAAGGTGGTGGGACCTGAAAGAATGAGTTAATTTCACACGGTTTCAGGAAGGAAAAGCGAGTGTGTCACAAACCTGCTGAGTTTACGACAAGGTGATGAAATAGGGCAACTGTTATCTTGGACATAAGAAGATTCCGACAGTTCACAAGAATTACTGCAAAAACTAGAGGACAAGCATGAATACAGACAAGGCACTGAATAGTATCAGATAATACCTAAACAGGAAGAAACACGATCATGATACGTGACGAGGTGGATGGGCGCCTGGGACAAGAGGGTTTCCACAGGGATCAGCGCTGTTTCTGGAATAGAAGACATACGGAGGATAGATTCGGAGTGTCCTGTTTGCAGACAAGGGAAGCTAATGCGACGAATTCAAGTGAGACGGATCAGTAGGACTACAAAGAGTCGGACAGGCTTCAAGCCTTCCAGCACATGGATTCTGATTAACCATACCAAGTGCAAAACATAAATTGGAAAGAGCAAAGAAGACCAGACAGAGTACAACTGGGGAGGCCCAAAGACTCAATACCTCACTCAAGAAAAAATCTTGGAGTGAGTATATACCTAACACATCCCAGGGCACTCAACCAATAACTGCGCAGCATATGACTCTAGCGTTTCGACACCATAGGAATCGTTCAAGACCTGTGTATCAGGCTCATACTGAGTCTGCGGACCAGGGAACGATTCGCAGTAGCACCTGTCTATGAAAATTAGATTTATATAATGGAAATTCATGTATTTCTTAAGGCTCTAGGTTAGTTGCTTACGAAAAGTTCCGCACCAACCTCAGTGAAATCCACAACCTCAGTGAAAGTTCCACACCTCGTGAAAGTTCCCACAACCCAGTGAAAGTTCCCACAACATCATGGAAAGGTTCCAAGAAGCTCAGAAGATTCCACAACCTCAGTGGAGAAGTTCCCACAACCTCAGGAAATCCCACAACCTCAGTGAAAGTTCAACAACTTCAGTGAAAGTTCCCAGCACATCAGTGAAAGTTGCACATCAGTGAAAGTCCAACAACCGTCAGTGAAATTCCAACAACTTCAGTGAAAGTTCCACAACCATAGGAAGTTCAAAACTCAGTGAAATTCACAACCTCATGAAAGTTCCACAACTCAGTGAAAGTCACAGACCCCAGAAAAGGTTCAACACCTCAGTGAAGTTCCACAACCTCATACAGTTCCCAACAACACAGTAAAAGTTCACAACCACAGTAAAAGTTCCACAACCTCATGAATTTCCCAAACCTCATAAGTTATTTCCCCAACCTCATGAAAGTTCCCACAACCTCAGTGAAAGTTCCCACAACCACAGTGAAAGTTCCCACAACCTCAGTGAAAGTTCCCACAACCTCAGTGAAAGTTCCCACAACCACAGTGAAAGTTCCCACAACCACAGTAAAAGTTCCCACAACCACAGTAAAAGTTCCTCCTCTTACTGATTCTAGAGTAGCGTGTTCGCCTCCCAATATAGAAACAATCGTGAATTCAACCATTCCTGCTCTACACGTGATGATAATAATAATATTATTATTATTAAGAAGAAAAAGACGGAGAAGAGGAAGAAGACGAAGAAGAAACAAGGAAGATGAAGAAGAAGAATTAAAAATCTGGTTAATCGTAACACCTGAATTTCGAAATCATATTATTTTCTTTCTTTCAACAAGCCGGCCGCATCCCACCGAGGCAGGGTGACCCAAAAAGAAAAGAAAATTTTTCTCTTTTTTTACTTTAGTAATGTATACAGGAGAAGGGGTTACTAGTCCCTTGCTCCAGGCATTTTAGTCGCCTCTTACGACACACATGGCTTACGGAGGAAGAATTCTTCTCCACTTCCCCAGAAAAGCTCGATAGTAGGGGCCATACAAGGCCTGGGAAATCAATGGTGATGAAAAGGAGAGTGCAGTGCCAGTTCCTCGGATTAAGAGCCCTTCAGCGAGTTCAAGGCATTTTAGTGGCTTTATTCTAGAAGCAGGCAGATGGAGGTTCAATCCCGAAGGAACCACACAGGTTTAGCGCTTTACGTGAAGGACTGATGTGTAATACTGTAGGAAGATACTTATCCTTGCTTTCTTCTCTCTCTCTCTCTCTCTCTCTCTCTCTCTCTCTCTCTCTCTCCCCACCCATCATCACTCTCTCACTCATCCCTATCTCACTCTCTCTCACCATCTCTCACTCTCATCCCTCTCTCACTCTTCCTCACCCTCTCTCTCTCCTTCACTCTCCCTCACCTTCATTCACCCTCACCCTTCCTCACTCTCCTTCACTTTCCTGTCTTTCTCCATCTCTCTCCAGTACAACTCACCCAACACAGTAACGTTGGCAGCAGCCCAGATGGGTGGGTTAGTCTGGGTGGGTCCCACCTGGCACTGATACTCTCCGTCCTCAGTAATAGTGATTCCGCTGATGACCAGGTGATGCTCCCCTAGCGCCGGGTCACCTGAGTAGGTGTACCTCGGGTACCCCGGTACCTGACGCTCGAAACCTGTAAAAATAAACACCTGTGTTATTAAGACATTACTGTATAAGCATTTAGCATGTAACACCTGCCACCAACCACCCAGCATGTAACACCTAGCATATGTCACCTACTACCTGGCATATAATACCTATCACCTGGCATAATACCACCCACCCAGGATATGTCACCTACTTCCTCGCATATGACATCTACCACCTACCATATAACACCTACCACTTAGCATATGTTACCTACTTCCTGGCATATGACACCTACCACCTAACATATATCACCTAATTCCCGGGATATAATAGGAACTACCTAGCATTTGGCGCCTACTAACATCAACTAACATTAAAATATAACATTGAATCTCTCTCTCCTCCTCTCTCTCTCTCTCTCTCTCTTATATATATATATATATATATATATATATATATTATATATATATATATATATATAATATATATATATATATAATTGTAATAGTAATTTATATATATGCTGTCAAAGGCAGTAACTTGCACCTTGGAAATTAGCAACGGCTCATCTTGCATATAGGACAACTAAAATTTGTGTATAGTAATAAGCAAAAACTTTGACCTACAACGCAAAAATAATCTCACAGAAGTTGAATTCTGTATTAAATTTAACTGTATAACCAAAACTAAATATATTTAGTTGGGTTAGGTAAAATAAAATGTTCATTGTGTAGGTAGATGATTAGTCAACTTTTCTAATCATTCTTTTGGAAGAAAATTCAAACGTTTTTACATTAAAATTAATTAAAAAAAACATATCTTGAAAAATTAAGAGAAAATTAAAATGATTTAATATTTAAATGATTCTCTGGTAAGCGTGTTACATATCGGCCGAAAAAATAAATAAAACGAATACTTATGTATGATGTTTATAAATTATTATATTATATTCTCATGTTATATAAATATTCAAATTCATGAAATTCTGTAGTGTTAGGTAAATATCCTGATGCTTATGAAAGTTCACTGTAATGTTTATGAAGTTCGTCATTTGAATCTTAGTGTTATAAATACTTAATATATGAATACTAGTTAATAAGTAAAAACTATTAGCTACAATCGCACTGCTAATCAAGAAGGTGCTCGAGACAGAAGGAATTCTGATACTAAATTCGTAACTGTAGATAAACGGTTGAGAGAACCGACAAGCTGATAATTTAGACACATGTGCAAACCTTGGGTATCTTTGTTAAAGAAATGTATCGCCACACAGTGGCTGTAGGGTGAGGGACTGATTACTCAAACACTCTCTAATTTTCATTCTTCTATGGACTTATGAAGCCACTATGTGGCGAAACGTTTCTACAGTAAACATTCCCTACTTTAAATGGTGATTAATACACAGTCATGAAAACATTTAAGCTGAAACATAGTAAACGCATCGTCTCTTCAACATAATTTTACCTCCATTATTCTAACACAAAAAATGGTAAGCGTGTTACTAGCGGCCGGGGAAAAAAAAAAAAAAGGAAAAACGAACTACCCTTGATGTATGAGGTGTTTATGAAATTCCCTGTAGTGTTTATGAAATTCCCTGCAGTGTTTATGAAATTCCCTGTAGTGTTTATGAAATTCCCTGTAGTGTTTATGAAATTCCCTGCAGTGTTTATGAAATTCCCTGTAGTGTTTATGAAATTCCCTTCATGTTTATGAAATTCCCTGTAGTGTTTATAAATTCCCTTAGTAGTTTATGAAATTCCTCTAGTGTTTAGAAATTCCCTGTAGTGTTTAGAATTCCCTGCAGTGTTTATGAAATTCCCTGTAGTGTTTATGAAATTCCCTGTAGTGTTTATGAAATTCCCTTCAGTGTTTATGAAATTCCCTGTAGTGTTTATGAAATTCCTGAAGTTTTTTATGAAATTCCCTTCAGTGTTTATGAAATTCCCTGTAGTTTTTATGAAATTCCCTGTAGTGTTTATGAGATTCCCTTACAATTTTTTAAATTCCCATGTAGTGTTATAAATTACCTTTTAAGTTTATGAAAGATTTAAAATTTTAGAAAATTTAATTTATAAATTTTGAGTTTTTGAATTACCAGTTTTAGATTTCCCCGGCTTACGAACCCTTATTTATAAATGATATATTATAAATCCTTATATTTATAATTCTGTATGTATAATTCCTGTATGTTATATAATATTCCCTTAGTTTATAAATCTGTAGTGAAGGGAAATTTATATAAAATTCTGCAGTTGTTTAGTCCCTGTATGTTTATCGAAGTTCGGTTATTGAATTTAGTGTTTATGAAATTACTTAATATATGCAATTCCTTAGTTATATGAAATACCTTAGTTTTAGAATTCGCACTGGGTTTATAGAAGTCTCGAGTTCAGAAAATTTCCCCTGATATAAATTCCTATGTTTATAAACCCGTGTGTTTATGAAACCGAAGTAAAATTTAGACCACATTTTTGAAATCCTTGGTATAATCCTTAGTGTTTAAAGAAATTTCCCATCAGTGTTATGAACTGAGTTATCAAATCCCTTCGTGTTTTCATTCCTGTATGTGTTATGAATTCCCTTAGTGGTATGAAATTCTTACAGTAAAATTCCCTCTTAAAAGGTGTTTATGAAAGCCCCATGAGAAATCTTTAGTTTGAAACACTAGTGTATGAAATTCTGTATGTTTAACATAAATTTACCTCTATTTATGAAACCCTAAAAAATGGTAGGTTTATGAATTCCAGTAGGAAATAAAATTAGGTATAAAGAATTCCCTTTGTAGTGTATGAAGGTGTTTATGAAATTCCCTGTAGTGTTTATGAAATTCCCTGTAGTGTTTATGAAATTCCCTTCAGTGTTTATGAAATTCCCTGTAGTGTTTATGAAATTCCCTGTAGTGTTTATGAAATTCCCTGTAGTGTTTATGAAATTCCCTGCAGTGTTTATGAAATTCCCTGTAGTGTTTATGAAATTCCCTGTAGTGTTTATGAAATTCCCTGCAGTGTTTATGAAATTCCCTGTAGTGTTTATGAAATTCCCTTCAGTGTTTATGAATTCCATGTAGTGTTTATGAAATTCCCTGCAGTGTTTATGAAATTCCATGTAGTGTTTATGAAATTCCCTGCAGTGTTTATGAAATTCCATGTAGTGTTTATGAAATTCTCATGTTAGTTTGTTTATGAAATTCCATGTAGTGTTTATGAAATTCCCTGCAGTGTTTATGAAATTCCATGTAGTGTTTATGAAATTCCTTGTAGTGTTTATGAAATTCCCAGAAATGTTTATGAAATTCCCTGTAATGTTTATGAAATTCCCTGTAATGTTTATGAAATTCCCTGTAATCTTTATGAAATCCCCTGTAGTGTTTATGAAATTCCCTGTAATGTTTATGAAATTTCCTCTAGTGTTTATGAAATTCCCTGTAGTGTTTATGAAATTCCCTGTAGTGTTTATGAAATTCCCTGTAATGTTTATAAAATTCCCTGTAGTGTTTATAAAATTCCCTGGATTGTATGTTATAAATTCCTGTAGTTTTTATGAAAAAAATTCCCTGTATTGTTTATGAAATTCCCTGTAATGTTTATAAATTCCCTATAATGTTTATAAAATTCCCTGTATTTTTAAAATCATATAAATTCCCTGTAAGTGTTTATAAAATTCCCTGTATGTGTTTTATAAAATTCCCTGTAGTGTTTATAAAATTCCCTGTAGTGTTTATAAAATTCCTTGTAGTGTTTATGAAATTCCCTGTAATTATAAAATTCCCTGTAGTGTTTATGAAATTCCCTGTAATGTTTATAAAATTCCCTGTAATGTTTATAAAATTCCCTGTAATGTTTATAAAATTCCCTGTAATGTTTATAAAATTCCCTGTAATGTTTATAAAATTCCCTGTAATGTTTATAAAATTCCCTGTAATGTTTATAAAATTCCCTGTAATGTTTATAAAATTCCCTGTAATGTTTATAAAATTCCTTGTAATGTTTATAAAATTCCCTATAATGTTAATAAAATTCCCTATAATGTTTATAAACAAGCGTTCATCGGGCAAATACTTATGTGTTTAATTAGTAGAAAAAGTTAGCGGTAAAGTTCACTTATTTATATACAAGAAAGGTCAGTAATTTTTCACACACGATCCATAACCATAATATAATATGTGATATCGCCTGAATTATTATGAAAAATAAATTATTATTGTTATATATCTATTATATAATTCCAATAGTCTAATGATATATTTTTTTGTCGTTGATAGCTAGCACTGAAATATGTATTATTGTATAACTCATTTATTTTTTTATATACACCTCATTTTTTAGTAATGATGTACGTGGGATGTATCTAATTACTCACTAGTTCCCGGCTATACAAAATTGTGAATTTTAATTTTTGAGGGGGTGGATGGGTAAGCCAGTGGAAGGCCTCGGTCAGATGACCAAAAAAGCTCCAGTGGCGGATCATCATGTGACTAAGACTCACGTCAGGAAACACTTGTCCTGTTTCCTGACCAGTCTTACCTAACCTAACCAGGCTAGATGGATGACAGTTTTGACTGGATGATTCCGAGCTCCGCCGTGTATAAACGTTATATTTGGTAGTCGCTACTACTGGCAGTTGTGTCAACATTTGCTGACCAGAGAGATACCTTACAATTGCCTGCCGTGGCACTCTCTGAGCTAGCGTTGTGGGAGAAGGTCGTACCTTCCCTACTCCACCTCTACTCACCTTGTGTGTATTCTGTTCCTGGTAGTTTTGGTAGCTTATAATCTATGTGAGGCGAGTCTAATGTCTTGCTCTCTGTCGGACTATCTAGGCGAGTACTAACAGGAAGCGCGGCTGTCTCGCGAACAGCAGACTGAGGATCAAGCCTCCACCACGTCTATCGTTTAATAACCCACATGGGTTTAGGGTTAAACGTGAATTATAGGAATTTCTGTCGAACTATGTTCTCTGGGCTTTGTTTTGATTTGCAAAGATTGCCATGTTAAAGGTCGTGTGTCAGAAGACACTTGAGATCCTGAGTCTAACTCTTGGCGT